TTTCAGGGGACACCGGTTGCGGTCCTGGTTTACTGCTTTCCCTGAGCAACATGACCACAAAAAAAAGCACTTTTTAAAAACATAGTTCATAGCATAAGTGTAAGATGTGGGGACACCGGTTTTAAATCCCGAATTCAAATTCCAACCTAACATATTCAAAAGTTTCGGGTCAGTTATTTTATTTTTATTTTTTTCAAATTCTCCTATGCACACTAAAGCTGCATTTACGTGATTAAAAAATACAGTAAAAACAGTAATATTGTGAAATATTATTAGAATTTAAAATGACTGTTTTCTGTGTTAATATATTTTAAAATGTAATTTATTTATGTGATGCAAAGCTGATTTTTCTGCATCATTACTCCAGTTTTCAGTGATCCTTTAGAAATTATTCTAATAATTATGCTGATTTGCTGCTCAAGAAACATTTCTTACTATTATGTTGAAGCAGCTGTGCGGCTTAATATGTTTGTGAAAACCATGCATTTTTTTCAGGATTCTTTGATGAATAGAAAGTTCAAAAGAAAAGCATTTATTGAGTTTTTTGTAACACTATACATGTCTTTACTATCACTTTGAGCAATTTAATGCATCCTTGCTGAATAAACATATCAGTTTCTTTGAACAGAAATCTTGCTGACCCCACACTTTTGAACAGTAGTGTAAATCTGAACTTGACTAAACAATTTTTGGGGACAAAAAGAATTTCACACTGGAAAAAAAAACCTTTTTATTTTTCGAGTGGCATGTGCATTGGTAGATGATTATATAATATTCAGTTTAAAGCAAGTGATCTTCAGTGGGTAAAACACAATTGAACTGATCAAAGACTTTTTTTTGTAGAAGATGCCATGATGCTTCTGCTTGGCAAAGTTAAATGCACTTAATTTCTTGTTATTTTCACCAGGGGTATTTATACTTCAAAACGTTTGGATATTTGCACATCAACTTGCACATCAAATGTCTTTGAAAAAAAAAATCTTTGTTTTATGTCTTGTGATCATAGAAGTGTGTTGCATAATTAATCGCTGTGTCTTGTTTTGACAGGACATCCCTCTTCAAGAGGCAGAAACTAAGATCATCCATCGGGATGTGTAGCCAGAGAACGCAGCAGGGCACAGCACCAGTCATTCCAGCCATATCTGCTAAAAAAAGATCCATTCTCTCCATCTCTTTCCCTGGAGGGTTCATCTTAGTCGCTTTTATCAAACATCTACATCTTTCTTAAGGAATATTTTTCATTCTTTTACTCTGTTACAGTGTTCATGAATTTCCTCTCATTGCACTCACTTTTGTTTTGCTCTTGCACATGCTAATATTGGCATTATTTTGTATGTACAGTTCTTTTTCTTTTTGAATTATTTGTGTTTGTAATAATGACTTTGGCCTCCATTTGGGGCCAGATAACTGCACTTCCAATGAACTCTACCCTATAGTCTCTCATGACTGAAAGAAAAAAACACAGGGAATGAATAAAACTACTGATATAGAAATTATTTTGTTCTAAATCTGATTTGCATGGCCATTGTCTGGTTAATAGATTTAATGTCTGTGTGTGATGTGTCTTACCTGAGAGTGTTAATTCCAGCTAACATTTTTCAATGGTAAATGTTACTGTGACTGTAAGAGAAGAATTGACAGGATGTAATGATTGCGTGTCTGTGTGCGGGTGTGTGTTGAAAGGTTTGTTTCAAATAATGTATGTTGTAATATTCTGACAGTTTGCACCCTAGCAGCAAGATTCTTGCAATAATGTTGAGCTAAAACGATTAATTAGTTTGACACTGTCTATTTTTGTAAGCATGATATTTATTGAGATGTTTGTACATTGTTTTGTATGCTGAACTATGTGTTATCTGAAGATAACGGCAAGTGTAAATCCCTTTTAATGTGTTCCTGAAATATCTTTAACAAAATGAAACTTTCACGTGAAAGCACCAGTGTTCCAGTATCTCCAAAAAAGTAATTTTATCAATAAATTGTTTGATGTTTTGACATTAGTTTAAGTTCTAATGTGACTTGTTTGGCATCCCATTTGTGAACATTTTGATTTTATTTTTTATGGTTATATATTTGGAGGGTTGGGCCATCAGGACAGTTCAGTGGATTCGGTTATTTTATTTCTAAAATATTTTATGATATTTGGGATTTGTGTAATATCACTGCTGATATCCTGATGATGAAAGCTGTTCTGTACTTACATTAACCTATATTTAGGCACTGCCTATAGGCATTCAATGCACATGCTCACAAACGTGCTACTCGGTTTAGTTCAGTTGGCAATTAAATGCTTGGAATAAAGCCAACATTATGAGGGAAATGGTGTAAGGACTCAAATTAGGGCACCCTTATCGAATGTGTGGTGACTGGTGAGAGAGGCTTTCATTAAAATCTGAGCACTGTCTGCCTTTGGATGACACAAACAGAAAACCAGAGCTAAACATATCTGTAGTGAGAGGAGTGCAGTGTCATGCTCTAGCAGAATTACCATGGTGCCAGGTGTTGGGGAAAGTTACTTTTAAAAGTAATATGTGACCCTGGACCACAAAACCAGTCACATGTCGCACGGGTATATTTGTGGCAATAGCCAATAATACATTGTATGGGTCAAAATTATCGATTTTTCTTTTATGCCAAAAATCATTAGGAAATTAAGTAAAGATCATGTTCCATGAAGATATTTAGTAAATTTCCTACCGTAAACATATAAAAATATATATTTGTGAGTGGATGCAGCAAAATCGCAAACATAAATGGACAACTTTCTCAAAGGTGATTTTCTCAATGTTTCGATTTTTTTTTGCACCCTCAGATTCCAGATTTATTTTCAAATATCTCGGCCAAATATTGTCCTATCCTAACAAACTATACATCAATGGAAAGCTTATTTATTCAGCCTTCATGTGATGTATAAATCTTAATTTAAAAAAATTGACCCTTGTGACTGTTTTGTGGTCCAGGGTCACATGTTACAATATTGCGTTACTCCCTAAAAAAGTAACTAATTGCGTTAGTTACTTTTTTATGAAAATTAATGTGTTTGCATTACTTAATTCACCTGGGCTTGCTTGTTTTTTGTTTGTTTTTTTAATAACAAAAAACACATAAGTTCTATTTTTGATAAATGTAATGGCCCTTTCACAACAAAAGTGAAATGAATAAGCCGTAGCCTGAAGGAAATGCAAATTCACACCTGTAAAGTAGAGGGTGCAGCTCAAACACACCTTTCAGCTGTGCTGGATTTTAGAAGAATTGGATGCAGAAGAAGAAAGTTCAACACTCTTACTTCAGCAATTAAAAAACAAAAACGTGATGTTTATCTTAAGTTATTTTTGCTTATTATCGTTGAATTGGATCGTCGAAGGTCAGCAGCGGATACATTGCTTACTAAAGTGATAAATACATAACGTATGTTTGTGTTATTTAACATTTAATTATTGCAGGTTTGCAGGTATACTGAATCTGTTTTTGTGCAAGTGAGATAAGTAAATTGCTCACTTTTAGTTTAAAACTACAATAACCATCATGTTTAGTTTAACCATCTGCACAAACTCCTGATTTCTCTCAACATGGGGACAGATAATGTGTATAGGAAAACAAATTTAAAAGTAATGTGTTACTTTACAAGTTAGGCTAAAAAAGTAATTGATTATGCAACTTGTAATACTTTACCCCCAACACTGCATGGGACTACCATGTTTTTACACATGCACCATAATAATGATATTCTCTGAAATACCTTGAGGTTCCTTAAAAACCCGTACATTAATATTGTAATCATTCAGTCATGGTGCATCAAAATATCATGGTATTACCATCTGATACTGTACCATGCCACTGTCACAGTAAGGTGCAACAAATGGTCATTCTCTTAGTTGTTCCTAAATGTTAAATGCACTGATTGTGCAAGTATTTCTGTTTATCTTAAACATTTCAAGTTCATACTGAACGTGTTAACTGCTTGAAAGTGTATGGGAAGGACACTTAACAAGTCATATAGCCTACATCACTTATAGCAAAACTAAAAAAAATAAGTCTTACAGTCAAAAGCTGCACCCTGGAGAATATAATGCACTTTTCTGTGCAGCAGTGAGTCCACGCCCAACACGTGTGAAATCGAGTTTGATCATGCCTCGGGGCCAGTCTTCCACGAATCGATGTTATTGAACAAATCTTTTAATTAAACGAATCATTTGCGTTCCCTTCCATGCACGGATTCAAATGTTCGTTCCGTCTGTTTCATTTTCATTTATTATGGCATGATAAATAATTGTAGGCTATTTGTGTTCCCAAATTATTTGCAGATAAATTTAATACAAAACAGTAGCCTACAAAAACAAAAAATGCGTTATTGATGTCATTTCTTTGCCAGCAGTTGACAAAATAAATGAAAAATGATAGATAATCTGCAGAAAGGGCCACAGAACGAATTATTAGTTAAAGAATTTGGGAAATATCACTTACATTAAATAAAATGTATCTTAATTGCATATTTTGTTCTAGTTCTTCTGTTAGATTGTTATCCACTGAAGATGTTTAATTGTGATTTAATTTCCATAAAGTGTCAAGTTAAGACTCTATTAATGAAAAAGGTTGGGTAATTGAAAACATTATTATTTATATATTCGATTATGCATAGGCCTATAGATATGTACAATTTAATTTAATTTACAATATAAGCTAACAAATTTGGTTTCTAGAAAGACTAAACAAAAAAATAACCATTAAACATTCTGTGCAGGTTCCCGTTAGGTTGTTACGTTGGCCAGAACATTCTTATTCGGGTCCCAAAATACAACCAAGTGGGAACTTTAAGTCAACTGCGTTTGCTGTGTAGTAACCGTTTGGTTTAACCCTGTTAAAATTAGTGAACAAATCTCTGAGAAACTGATTCAAACGATTCGATTCGCTGAGATGAATCAAACTCCACAGCGCTACCAACCGCCCATTTCCGAGCTCGACTGCAGAGAGTAGAGAGATAGACAGACAGAGCGCGGTGCACACAACACACCTCCCTCCCCCGGCGTGCTCGTTCTCTCCTTCTGTCACCACAGACTCTCCACCGATTCACCACCGGCTGCCTCATCCAGGCATGGCAGACGGCTTTACCCCATCATGGCAGTGCTACATTACACCCTTGACTTCAAGCTCCGTGCGCCAGGTAAATTTCAGTTAAATGTATGGAGGGGGCGAGTGGAAGAGAATAAGGGGCTCGTGTTGCACTGCAGACAAACGGGCCTCTTCGCAACTGCCCTGTAAGCGATTTAGTGTCTTTAGAATCGCAGCGAGGCTGCAGTCCCACTTCTGCATTGCCGAGACGACCGCGGGATGCATGTCATTGCTGTCGAGGGAAAACTTCTATTGTTGTGCATATCCTCCTGACGTTTGCTCGGATAAATGACCTTCTAGAGGGGTAGCATAGCAGCGTTAGCAGAGGCTAATGTCGGTTTTCCTCCGAAGCTGGCGTTTGCGTTTGAATAGAGCTCATATGTGCACATATATATGCACTAGTAGGCGAGCTAGCCGCAGTGCATACTAAAACAAATATTTCCAATTATACATTACCAATTATTATGTATGTACAGCGTTTAAATCCTCTATACGTAGTCTCGTGCATCTGACATATTTTTGAACGATTACATTTTGTGTGTATGTTGACAAGCTCTGAAAGTCTTTCACCTCCTATGGCAGTTCCTCTATCTGACTGGCTAATAATATCACAAGCCGATAAGATGAGTTTTCCATTCTTGCATACTACAGCGATCATACAGCCTCGATATTACACACAAACACGCCGTATCTCTTTTGAGCAGTGTGACAGGTGCATAGTATCATGTATTATTATTTTAGATTTATTTACATTAGATAAAAGATATGTTGCAAATCATTCTACTTTATAAACTGTAGAATGGATATGAATAAATATGGATTGGCTTGTTTTGGGCAGATTTTGCATAACTAGGTTAAAAATTATTCAAGAGAAATTTGAATCCCTGAATTAAATGAATTCTGTGTAATGGACAGATGCAGACCCTCTGAGACCGGAATACCTGCAGGTCAGATTAATGGGTGTGCTGAAAGGTGAATGCCTACAATAAAAACGAACCCCCTAACCCTACCCCACACCATGTCAGACAGCTTTCGTGATCAATGATGATAACCTTTCTCCACGCCCCATACCTTTACGCCCATTACTCCAACCTGCAGATATCCACATTCTTGCAACTTATTTGTGATTAGTGGGTTTGAAAGGGATAGTGCACACAAAAATGTTAAAGTATGTATTTGCTCTCATGCTGTTCAAAACTAACCGGACTTTCTTCTGTGGAAAACAAAGGGAGATGTTCAGAATGACAGTCTCAGTCACCATTTATTTCAGTGTATGAGAAAAGATGTGATGCAAGTGAATAGTGACCAAAGTTATCAGTCCTTAAAGGGATAGTTCACTCAAAAAGAAAGAAAATATAAAAATTCTGTCATCATTTATTCACCCTCATGTTGTTCCAAACCTGTATTCATTTCTTTCTTCTGTGGACACACAAAAGAAGATATTGTGAAGAATGTTGGTAACCAAACCACTTTGGTTACTATTGACTTCCATTGGATGTAAAAAACAAACAAACAAAAAACTGAGACATTTCTAAAAAATATTATATCTATTAAATAATATCTTATTTTTGGTTCCACCAATGAAAAAAAAGGGCCATGCAGGTTTAAATTATGAGGGTGTGTAAATTATGACACAATTTTTATTTTCGGGTCAACTATCCCTTTAAGTAGTTTTAGAAACATTAGTAAATGTGCAAATGAGTTGATCCGTGTGCAGTAAAATTGGCTTTAAGGTCAGTCATCTTCAGTAAGAAGATTTTCTTTAGGGGCTTTTGAGGTGGAGGATAAAGTAATCGGTCGGTTTTCCCTCTGTCTGTTTAGCTGATGTCTCTGCGACTGTGCGTGGCCTGCAGTCTATATTTCAAGAGCAGGAAATGACAGAGAATGTCCACGACTCGGAGGGACAAGGATATCTGGCAACCTTCGTCGGCAAGAATGGCAGGTGAGCACCTAAAGTTGCCTCAAATGTTTTTAGTAGGACACCAGTCTTTCACAACTAGGGATGGGTATCGTTAAGGTTTTAACGGTATTACTACTCTTACCGATTACTTATCGATTTGGTACTTTACTTTGACTGTATTGTTATCAGTTCTTTTTGTTATATTTTTTATATAAAAAACAAAAACGAATTAAGAACATAATTAACATTGCTTCATATTCTGAAAGGTGAAATAAATATCTATAGCAAAATAAAACAGCCAAATTTTTAACTTGTAACTTTGCTTTTCATTTATTACTTAAAGCCCACTTTAAAGCTGCAGTCCGGCATTTTTCCTCTTTGTCGCCATCTCTGTTTGAAATCTGTAATTGCAGTTATTCGCGGAATTATTAACTTTGCGTGAGTTGCACATCGGCATGAAACAGCGCGGATGAACACAATGTTTTGAGACTGCGAGTCTGTCAGTCACGGCGCCGATGTGGAAACTGGCATTCAGAATCACACATTCTACTTTTGGAAGTAGGCCTACAGTATGACCATGACAACATACGAATTTTCATCGGAAAATGTCATCTGAACAAGTAAGTAACATCCACATCAACTAAGGGGGGAAAGCCTTGCAGTAAATCGTGCTGATTAAATATAACGATCGCGTCAAACCTTTCAAATTATACTTTGTTCTCAAATTATCAACATCAGCATTGTGACTACATTTAATGTGTATTATGATTACCCTGTAGTTCAGTTTCTATTTCTGTGCAGTCTAATTTCTAATTGTCATACCAATAAATTAATGTTTCTTTACTGGTTTTCTTTGAGAAAAAAGAAAAGAAAAAAAACACGTATCTGTAATCCGATGCATATTTAAAACTATATATAATTTCGGAGGAGGCCGGTTTGGTTTGCTTGGAGTAGAGGTGAATTGCTCCCTCTCATAGCTAGCACAAAATATTTACCATAATAGCTAAACGAATAAAGACAGAAAACTCCGTAACTGTGTGAATTAAGCGAACAAGTGTGCTACTGTTACACGATTGAACTATTGAAATGTCTTACCTGTCCTAAAAGAAAAAAAGCCGTCTCTGCGTCCGTTTTGAACCGATGTTTATCCTTGTTTTCGCGTGGGCCAGTTGCAGTCTCTTTTTTCTCTAACGTTACCCACTCCGAAGTCCCAATTATTTGGGGTTTTACAAGTGGTGAATGTCCAGTTGTCACTGGTGATTGTCGTTTGAACCTTTCTGGATCCGCCATAAGTTTAATTATTTAATGCTGTGAGAAAAGGCTAAAAATGTCCACCTCCAACATCCTCACGCAGTATAGCCGGCTAGCCGAAACTCCTTCTTTATGTGTACAGATGTGACGTAATGACGCAAAGACATGCTCGAATTTCCCGCGGAAATCCACCAGTACCACTGGAATTAAAATAATTATTACAAGCTAACCGTTTTGAATCGGGCAAAAGCAAGCAGATAGTTTTGACCACTGGCTGGTTATGTTTTTTTTAATTATTATTATTTTGGATAATTTTTAACCCAAAAAAGTTACAGACAGCAGCTTTAAGTACTTCGATATCACAACAAAAATCTAGCTTTTAATAATTAAACATCATTAAAGACAAGTATAGAGTCAGTAATACAATTAGAACAACTACACAAATTACAAGCATAGATAAATACAATACAACAAAGTTCCAAAAACGTAGGGTCTAACTAGTGAATTCAGGTACAGAAATGTAATCATTAAATGTAAGATAACACTGTTTAAATCTGTATAGATATAGCACTGTATATAACACTGTTCATTGAATAAATTAAATATAGATTCATTTTTGTTAAAGAAGTGTTTTTTGCTGTTTGATTAACATTAATGACATAGACAGCAGCAGGTATTTATAGGATGCTGTCACTTTAAGACCTAATCAACTGATCCAATATAATGATACACATCCGATTTCTCTCTCAACTGTTTATGTTGTTCTTAAGACATAACCGACTGTGTTTATGAGAATACTTGCCGAGATGGGTATTTTAACTATTTTATGTGTCCATGTGTCCGTTCAAGCACAAGAAGACGCGAACGAGTTCTCTTTGGCCCCTTCTTGCGCTTGAATGGTTTAAAACCGCTTGAATGTGTAAATTTTCAAGATTAAACATGAGCAAATGATAAACTTTCACTCTATTATGGTTAAACTTAGCAATTAATCTGCGAATCGCATGCATGCCAAACCGTTGGGCCTGGTCGGATCACGGATCAACTGCGATCTGTTGCACCCCTAATAAATGGGTCAGTGTGCAGGCATTTTTTTGTGTTTTATATACATAGGATGAGACAAAATAAGAACAAGAACAGAGAAACAAATAGTCAATTAAATACAATAAATATACAATAAAACAAAGATACACAGAAAGTAACAGTGCTTTAATTTCAGGAAGTTCTAACATTACTGTTCAGGTAAGTAATGTGACCTACAAAATAGATCTAATAAAGTAATCAAATCTAAAATAACACTGCATAGTTTTCACTGTATAAATTGATAGATTCATCTTTATTAAAGCTAAAGTTATTCATTCAAGAGCTGTGAGTTATTTTCTCTTTGTCTTTTGTTGTTTGCTTCACGTTAATGCCGCAATGGTCAGCAGGTTTATTAGACTGCTGCCACTTTAAGACCGAATGCACATCTAGTAATACACATCATATTTTCTCCCAATTATTTACACCCATTTAAGCTGGTCATTTTTGTGTATTTTATTGTTTAGATATGACCTAAAGTATAACTTGCTTGTCTAGGTTTGGAGCTCTAGGTTTCGAAACTGTGGTATTTCGTAATTCAGCTCCGGGGCCCGTTTAACACCTGATTTCGATACCCATCCCTATTTACAAATGCAAAAACTCTTCAACAGGTTTTGTTAAGCTGAAGGGACGGACCGGACTTTGAAGAATGGATGATGATGTAATCACCCTCTCATTATGGCGAATTTGCTGCTGTATTTTAGGGACAAAGAGACGAGTTTCCTTTCCATGGAGTGTTTTAATTTTTGCTCTGTAACACCTAAGCATAATGTTGAACCTAACTGACAATAATGATGACTGAAAACACAAACGCCCCACTGAAAACACCAGGTGTGCTCCAGTGTTCAGACACTCTTTAGGATGACCATTGATTGGTCAGTTAAGTGCATCCTCTGTGCAACAAAGGACCGCGTTTAGTAGAGCGCAGGGTCATTTTAGTGGCTTTGTGAGTCTGATCTAAAGGCTTTGGCACTCACTTCCTGTTTTGTGTGTGGCTTGCTGTAAACACAGCTGTTGGGGCTTTGTTTAGGCTTAAGCTGGGATGAATCTGGCCTGAGCGCCGCATCGTTTTTTTATATAGTTTTTGACTGCAGTTTTGAGGTTTTAATTGTGCTTCTGTATTTTCTTTGTATCAGGTTTGCCATCTTACGAATGCACTCCCATGGTCTGGTGACCTTTGACCTGCAGTGTCTTGAAGGGGATGATGTAGTGCAAGTGGACAATGTGAGTTAACAGAATGTAGGTGATAGAGATACTAGTACCAGAGGTCGACCGATGGATCGGTTTTGCCAATTAATCACCACAGATAACTGATTGCTGGAACAATCGGTTATTCGCAAAAATCCATACCGATAGTTTTTCCAGGTTGTGTCTGTTGCTGGAGCGGCTGAGAAGGGTCCGCTGTCATTATACAGTACAAGAGCGGCCTCTAAAGGCGAAATAAAAACTATCTCTGATCCCTCGTGGAGTTTGTTTTGACACATGAGGCTGTGCGCTGCACAGAGCAGGACACTTCAGATGTAGATTTAAAACATAGACAACAAAACAGTATGAATACAGTACACTACATGTTTTTATATCATTATGAAGTATTTGATTTGTTGACTAGATGCTGTATTAGTAGAGAAAGAACAGCAGTATGTTTGTCATCGAAGCTGAGAGGACGCTAACAGTAGTACCTCAAGCTGTTAAAGCAATCTGACAAAAACACACAAAAGTCTGACCCAAATGTTTACTGTCATGATTGTTACAATCTGTTTGCATTAGTTTAAATCCAGCTAGTCATTTTTATGCATTTGTTTGCAAAGAAAAGTTGCATATTTAAAGCTAGTGATGTGAGAAAGCAAATTGATCGGTTCATGCAGCCGACAGAAACAAATCAGAATCAAACAAATAATTTCAGTTCTTTTTTTGAATCGTCACTGTAACACATATTTTGTATTTTGATTAGATAATCAATTGTTATAAAATAGAAGCAAATAATGTGTGAGGGTATATGTACAAAATACATATGTATCGATTTTCAATGCTATGGTCTTTAAGTTGATATTTAATGATGGCCGGCCATCTGCAAGCATGACTGTTTGGATTTATATGAAATGGTAACACTTTTCAATAAGAGTCCATCTGTTATATTAAAGGGATAGTTCACCCAAAAATGAAAATTCTGTCATCATTTACTCACCCTCAAGTTGTTTCAGACCTGTATGAATTTCTTTCTTCTGTTGAACACAAAAGAAGATATTCTGATGAATGTCAGTAACCAAACAGTTGATGGACCCCATTGACTTCCATAGTATTTTTTTTCCTACTATGGAAGTCAATGAGGTCCAGAAACTGTTTAGTTACCAATCTTATTCAAAATGTCTTCTTTTGTGTTTAACTGAGGACAGAAATTCATACAGGTCTGGAACAACTTGTGGGTGAGTAAATTTTAAAAGTATTTTCATATTTGCGTTTATATACATATTTATATTATTTATATATTTATTTCATTTAATAAGTACATTTTCATGGTTCAGCGCTGTTTCTTTTGTAATAAAGCTGAGCACTAGTGTTTGTTTTCATTCAGTATCCATTTTAAAAACTATCGGTTGGTTATTAACCTAGTTATCTAGAAGGGGACAGTCATGGCCTAATGATTAGAGTCAGACTGGTAACCCGAAGGTTGCGGATTCGATTCTCAATACCCGGGCAACACAGCAAAAATGGCTGCCCTTTGCACTGGGTGTGTGTGTGTGTTCACTACTAACTGCAAGTATGGATTAAAAAAATTAAAGGTACGATACCGTCACTTCACTTTACTTATCGTTATTGGTAAAAATCCACCATCGGTCGACCTCTGACTAACAACCATATGGTATATGAAATCTAACTAGTACCATATGGATATTAGAGTTAATCTTTAAAACTTGTAGAATCTAAAAACACTGTTAAATGTAATCTTTAGCAAATCTCAAAATGATTATCCATTTTCCATACTGGACATTATGCCTAAATTCACTTGTGGCATGTAAAACGATTGACAAATATCTGACAAGTATGGCAACTTTATGTTTAAAGTTGCCATACTTTTGCTTTTAAAAATGGGATATCTGATTATAAGGATGGAGTCGTTCTTTGTCACTTGATAACTGCTTGAAAACGTTTAATCACATTTTCCTCAACACTCTGAAGTCTATATTTATACACTACCGGTCAAATGTTTGTTTGGTATTCTGATATGCTGTTTTGGTGCTCAAGAAACATTTGTGGAAACTACTACATTTTTCCGAATTTTTTGATAAATGTTCAAGAGAACAGAATTTATTTGAGAGAAAAAAAATCTTTTGTAACATTATAAATGTCTTAACTGTCACTTTTGATCAATTTTAATGCATCCCTGCTGAACTTGAGTATTAATTTCTTTAAAAAACAAAACAGAACATCTGAACAGTACGGCATGCTGACCACAGATCAACCAGTAGGCGAGAGTGATTCAACCATTCTAGAATGTGTTTACTTCCCTGATTCAGAAGGTCATAATTAAGACAATGTTTTCTCTGTAGCTACTGAATGCACTGGAGAAGAAGTTAAAGGCTCTCCTGGATGGAAATATCCAAAGGATCAAGAGGTGAAACTAGCATTATTTTCATCCAGAATCAATTGCCATAAACTTCTCATTTTTTACTAACCCTCATGTCATTCCAAACATGTGCATTGTGGAGCGTTTTTGTGATCTGTTTGACTGAATGTGTCCTGTCAGACTCCCTGCGCTGATTCGAGGCAGTGATGTGGACCGATACTGGCCCACGGCTGACGGCAGGCTGATGGAGTACGACATTGATGAAGTTGTGTACGAGAAGGAATCCGCCTACCAGAACATCAAAATCCTGCATTCGCGGCAGTTTGGCAATATGCTTATTCTTAACGGGGATGTCAGTAAGTTAAAAGGGCATTGTTTATTTGCTAGTTTCAAATACATGAGAAGTTTTTGGGGTATTGTATTGTGTGAGTGTGTGGTAATTTAGTGTGATCAAATGTCAGATCTGGCAGAAAGTGATCTGCCCTACACTCAGGCCATTATGGGCAGCGGCAAAGAGCACTATGCTGGAAAGGAGGTACTTATTCTGGGAGGAGGAGATGGTGGAATTCTCCATGAGGCGGTGAAGCTCAAACCAAAGATGATCACCATGGTTGAGATATCCTTTATGCTAACACTTGACTGCAGTTAAATGGAAAACTACTCAGTACTTTGTAGCTCTCTAACTGATTTTAAATATGTACTTTCCTTAATTAAGTATTTACATTGATGAGCTGGTGATTGATGGATGCCGTAAACACATGAGGAAGACGTGTGGGAATGTTTTAGATAACTTGAAGGGAGATTGTTATGAGGTAAGGATTGACTTTGTAACATTTTATCAGTTTAAAGCTCTTATTTATGTCTTGTCCCTATTGCTAAACATACTAGTCAAACTTCAGTTTATAAGTAAGTTGGTAATGGCTGGATCAGATTAGACCACAAACATGAAGATAAAAAAAAAAACATAGATTTAAGAGTTTTGTTCCTATAGTGTGTGTAGTGCCGCGATGTGACCAAGACAGCACACCACACACTAACAGATTTCATTCACGACTGTAAACGTGGGAAATCTCTCAAAATCGCTCATGGTCAAACATGACTTTAGAGTAAACAAACATGGCGGACGACGGGCAAGAAGAAATGGCGATAATAGCTTTTTACAGAAAATTTGTGGGGTGAAAAGAAAAAGGTTTGGATGAAGTCGTATTATTCTTCCGTCTTATGTCAGCTCGCTTTCTGATTGGGTATCTTTTCGTTCCATGTGACAATCTACAGAGTACGTGCGCGTTTGTCCTCGGGGTTCCCCCCACACAACAGCCTGGATTCCTGATCATAATATTCAACATTTTGGATATTTATGATTTGACATTGTTGTGGCCCCGGCGTTCTTCCAAGCAGATTCAATCACTCTTAACACACCTCACACCACAGGAAAATCTGACCAAATAATCTGTAGAACCTTCAAGATAATCCAGACGTTACCTAGGATTGTTGGAATGGGATAATAAGGCCCAAAATGGGCCCGATTATCTTGTAGTGTCTTAAGATTGTTTGAAATGTTTTGAAAGTCTCTTGCGCTCACAAAGGATGCATTTATTTGATCAAAACATTCACATTTAAAATACAGTAAATAACGGTTTTCTATTTGAATTTATTTTTAAATGTAATTTATTCCAAAGTTGAATTTTCAGCATCATTACTCCAGTCTTCAGTGTCACGTGACCCCTCAGAAATCATTCTAACATGCTGATTTGCTGCTTTTTTTAATGTTGAAAACAGATGTGCTGCTTGAAATTTTTATGGAAGCCATCATACATTTATGTCAGAATTTTCTGATGAATACAAAGTTTAAAAGAACAGCATTTATTTAAAATAGAAATATTTTGTTGTCACATTATAAATGTCTCTACTGTCACTTGTTTTGTCCCTGCTGAATAAAAGTATTAATTTCTTTTTGAAACTTTTGAATGGTAGTGTGTATTAGACTGTATTACACATTCTCGTTCGTTTGTTCTGTTTTGTCTCTTTCTCTGAACCGTTTATCAGTTGCTAAACATATTTTTGAGGCCCCTTTCCTGCTTTTGAAACAAGTGCAATGTAGTCAGTTGAAGGAAATTACCCAAACTCTGGGCAACTGCCAGTTTTTTTTAATGGATAACAATGAATGTATATATCCCACTATTTGATTTTTTTCTTTTTTCTATTTTCTAATTTTTTGTTTCAGATTTTGGTTCAAGACTGTGTTCCCGTACTTAAAAAGTTTGCAGAGCAAGGGAGGACGTTTGATTACGTCATTAATGATTTGACAGCTGTACCTATTTCCACTGCACCGGAGGAGGGTTAGTTTATATGCGGCTACACTTCTGTCCGAGTCTTACGTTTTTTTTACAAATATTAAATCAATTTGTATTGTATTGTTCTATAGATTCGACATGGGAATTTCTGAGACTCATCCTTGACCTCTCTATTAGAGTTTTGCGGCCTAGTGGAAAATATTTCACGCAGGTGAGGGGGGCATGTAGTTAAAATTGCTGTGAATTTTTGCTGTTTTTCAATCCTTTAATGTTATGTTATTTTCTGCCTGCAGGGTAATTGTGCGAATCTGACTGATGCACTCAGTGAATATGAAAAGCTTTTGGGGAGACTTTCGTGCAAAGTGGACTTTTCCAAAGAGGTGGTGTGTGTTCCCTCATATATGGAGCTGTATCCTTTTTTAATTACCTGGTCAGTCCCTCGAGCTAAAATACATTAATAATGTGTGGGAAATATGTCTGTGAATAAGGTATTAATTATTTAAAATGTTAAATAATTTTTAATTTTTATTTCTTTGAAAATATGATACAAAAATTAAGGACATTTAAATTGTATGTGTGTGTATATATATATATATATATATATATATATATATATATATATATATATATATATATATACATACACACACACACAAACAATTTAAATGTATTTTACCTTTAAAATGGGTTAACGGACAAATTCACACAAAAAATATGTCAACAAGTTTGGTGCATATCCTAGAAAACGTGGTTATGTCTTAAGTGAACGTAAACTGTGTGTGTGTATGTATTAGGGGTGTTGAAATTAATCGTTTCCACGATGCGGACCCAAACAAAAGTGAGTAAAAAAAAAAATAACCCACTATTTTCACATTTACAGCATGTGTGTGTGTGTGTGTGTGTGTGAGAAAGTTATTTTAACTTAAGTACACTGCTTGACCGTTTTATGCGCTTTTAGTATTTACTAGTGTTAATTAGTTCTAAATGCTCCTGTTGTGTGCTATGTTCAGACTTCAGTTTTGTTTGATGTTTGCTACATTCAGGGAGTTCATACATCTGACTGCTTGTATTCATTGACGAAAATGTACCCATGTGTAATATTGAAAATTGAGGAAGCAACGCATCATGATGCATCGCGATATTGAATGATGCATCGTGACCAGTGAAGATTCACACCCTTAGAACGTACGTTTGTTTGTGTGTGTGTGTGTGTGTTTATTATTTTATTTATATTATTTTAAATTATTTATTTATTTTATATTTAAGTAATATGTTTTTTAACTTTTTACCTTTTGACCATACTTTTCTGTTGTCCATTGAAATTTGGCATTATTGACAAGAAAACACTCATAGCTGCCCTCACATGAATGGTCAGTTCCTTAACATGCTAACTCAGATGGGTGTTTTACACCATCTGGAAGAAGTAATGTCTCTTCCTCCTCCACTCTCTCCTCGAAAGTCCTGCCGGAATGTGAAGACTTCTCCCTCACCTCTGATGCACTGAGGAGAGACGTGCACATATCTCTCCAAGCACTGTTTCTGTTTCTACTCTCCCTTCACGTCCAAAACTTAACAGCCTTCCTCTTTTTTTTTGACATGGCTATTTGCATTTTTGTGTTTGAAATTTGACTGGGATGGTTGTTTTTGTTTGTTTGCCAGCGTTGGTTTGATGTTGTTTGCGTGGGGCCCTCCAGGGTGCGCTGTGGTGCGAGGTGTGTGAGTGACACTGCTGATGATACTGAAGCCTGGAGGGTGGCGAAGCATTCAGACACTTTTCTGACTCCTGCCTTTGAGGATTTACTCTTATGATTCAGATTTGACAATGCTCTTTCTGTTTTACTGTAGCTCCATATTTTTTCTTTTTGTTGACCTCTGTGTTTGAATTTTTTGCATCCTTTTGTAACTGCTTGCTTGAGTGTGATTTGATTTAAGATTCCTCACCGGGAGTTTATTGGCAGTGTTACATTCTGGGATTTCACCAAATACTAGTCTATTGAAGCCCCTAAATATGTCTTAAAAGGGAAAAAAGTCCTTGCTGTGGCAATTTTCATTTTCTTTTTTCTGAACTGTGAATGTTTAATTGTTTTATGATTAGCACAAACTAGGTCCAAAGTAGGTTTCCCTGCTTAGTGTTTTTGCATTTCTTAAGAGAGAAGTTTTTACTGAATGTAGGCCACTTAGATTCATGCCTTTTATCCATATTATGGTGCTTCGTTGATATTATTTATTTTATTTCACCATATACCAGTGATCCTGCCCTGAAAAGAAACTTCTGTTAATGAGAGTGATAATCATCTATTAAAGCAATTAAGGAGAAAAATATCAAATCTCTTTTTTGTGTGTCTTCTCTCTTATGCACTCCAATGAAAATATTTAACATAGCCTAATCATTATTATTGCGACTGCTGCTGTTACTCATAGCTCTTCACAATCATAAATGCTGATTTCAAAGTCAAAAACCTTAACACAAATCTTTCAGTTTTCATAATGCTTGGTCCAAATCACTTTTTACATTTAGATTGCATTTGAATTTGCATTTTCTTTCCATATATTACAAAACAACAATTACAGAACGTATGCAATATTCAACAAATGCATGTACAATCCAGTGCTTTACGTGTAGGATTAACAAAGACAATGATAACATTTAAAAATAGACAAAATAATGCATAATAATACATTAAACTTATGATTAAAAAGGATTTTTTATTTATTTTAGCCATTTTTATTATAAAATATATAAATACTAACATATATATATATATAGAGAGAGAGAGAGAGAGACATAGCTAACAAAAAATCATTTTATCTGTTCAGGAATCTGAAAATTTGGAGTAAAAATAATGGCTACACCAGAAAGCAGATGTTACATTAAAGTAGTCAAGGCTTTCATAAAAGTTTAAAAAATATATATATTTAGAAAACAGTCAATGATGATGACCTTTTTCCCCCTTTTTTTTGGGGGGGGGGGGGGGGGGGTGACTGATGATGACCAATCCATCATCCTTTGTATTGCATTACGTCATATTTTTCCAGGGTGGTTTACGTGCAAAGGAACCAAAACTGGTGTTCTGTTAGTTGTAGTTCTTTCCATGCGCCTTGACGTCAGAGTTAGTGTTTAGAACCAATTGCGTGACTACATTTCCCATAATGCACTCTGGGCAAAAATACTGGTGGGCGGAGACTACTTGTGTGAACATAGATTTCTGTACCTGTCTGCTGAACTAGTCTGATTTATCGTTAATGTGTAAATTGTACAACTGTACTGTTTATAGAAGAGGATCGTATGGTGCAAAGAGGGCTAGACGCTTTACGTGCTCAAAGGGTTTTGTTTTCCTCGCACCATGGAGAAACAGTTGCAATTGAATTTGCTAGCCTCCAAACCCCCAATGGCAGGTTTGCAGTCTGGATCTAAAATAAGAATGGGGTGAGTTTACACTTCATCATATCATTCATTACAATCATATGCACATCGGTAAGTTACATACAAGGTGTTTTAACAACACTATCGTTGATAGCTAATAGCTGTCACGACGAGTCATAACTGTTCTCGGGATCTATTGCTTATATTTGTGTTTAACTGTTTCAATATTTGTCGCACGTAATAAAAAGCAAGTCTAAAATCCATCCACGATTAGATTTTGCTTCTCTGGTCAACTGTCTGCGGTCCCTCTTGCGTTCTGTGTCTCATCTAACTGTTAGCTACCGCGATCACGACTCAATTGTTAGCGATGACTGAATCTTTCAATAAAGCTATTGAACGAGATTTAATCGGCTCAAGCGGTTCTCAAATCAACAACAACGCAACAACCGTCTGTTTCTGACACGTAAGTTATATTACTAGGGTCAAATGAGAGGACGATAAGAAAGTTTCTACAGATGATACAAAATAAAATGTATTAGAAATTAATTTACTACTTGATTGTACACTCCTGGGTAAAAAACAGGCCCAGACAAAAATGTCAAAATCTCTATTGGACTTTTAATGGTCTTAACCATTTTTAGTCACAAATCACTGGTCTGGAAATTAGCAAGAATTGCACAAATACTGTAGATATATAGTGTTTAATGACGTCAAACAGTTCATGAGTTGTTGAAAAATGTCTCCCAGTTCATTCGTGTTTAAAGTGAGACCAAATATTCTCTGTAGGTTTCAAATCTGACTCTGATCAGGCCAAAACATGAGCCTGATGGACTTGTTCTCAAGCCACTTCTTGGTTGTCTTTGCAGTTTGGGCAGGAGCATTGTCTTGTTGAGAAAAAACATCTGATCATTCCTCTTTAGATAACATCTTTTCAGTTGTGGGAAGCAAACCTTTCTGCAATATTCTCCTGAACTCCAAAGCATTTAATGACTTTTTCACAGTGAAGTAGCTCACACATACCAGCAACAACTAAAAAGGCTCCCCACACAATGCAACTCTTCCTCCATGCTTCACTGTGCTACAGATGCATTTATTATTATATTTCTCAGCAGATTTTAGAAGAGCATCACCGTGCAACTCGTGTTACATTGTGATTCATCACTCCACACACAACTTCAAATATTCTCCCAAAACTTCATTCTGTCTTTAATGTTTTTCTTACACAGCAATGTTTTTTTTTTGTGCTTTTGGTTAAATTGAGCTAATTTCCTGACCAACAATGTGTGGTTAGAACAATTAAAAGCTTTTATTAAGCCACTTTGAGCGTGGCCCATATTTCTGCCCAGGAGTGTATGATCCTTTTTCAAACCACTTACAAAACAGAGTTGGTCACCATGAAATCAAAAGTGACATTTCCTTTTTTTGTGTGTGTGTGTGGAATATTGCAGTATTTATTATAAATGATTTATCAGTGCACGTCAGATTTTTTTTTATTCAAATGCCCTCATAATCAAAATAACTTCCCCTCCCTCTTGCAACGTCATATCTTCTCTTCTTTGATGATGTGTTTACTGGCGTCAGGGTGGGACAACCTGTTACTCACATGACATCACAGCAATAGCAAACCACAAAGATCCAATCAATTCCCGATGGACAAAATGAAGTCCCGCCATACATTTTTTCTTGTTCGAGAAGCCATTTCACATGGATATACAATCAAATCAATGAAATCTTCTGTTTCATGCTGGCTTTAAATGGCAGCTTATCATTACGTAATGGTGCGAAAGAGTTCGAAAGAACCAATTTGCTTAAATGAGACTGAATTCCCATCACTAGCTGGTGTGTCTTCTGATTCATGTTCATCTTCACACCTTGACCTCTATATCCATTTGGTCAGTCATTTAACCTGTGTCCACTAGGTTTCTTTGACCCCACAAGGATATAAGAAATATCCACAAGAACACATGGATGCCACTGACTTTTTGTTCTCCCCTCTCTCTATGCAGACCGGGAAGAAAACGAGATTTTACTCCTCTGCCCTGGAGTCAGTACTTCGAAACCATGGAGGATGTGGAGGTGGAAAATGACAACAGCAAAGACATATCCTTTGCTTAATTGTTGAGGAGACTCTTGGAAAATGTTAAAATATTGCCCTTTATGTACCTCATGTGATATAATACATTCTATTCCGTAAAACATTCCTTAACTCCTCTGTACACATTCAGAATTTACTGCAGTGGCTCTGATGGTCCTGTCCTGTTGCTCCTTCATGGAGGAGGTCACTCTGCACTGTCCTGGGCTGTGTTCACTGTGAGTTTCTTGCATCTCACAAAGCCGTACCTCACTGCGTCACTTTTAGGTCTGTGTTTTTATGATACATCATGTACATCATAAAGAGACGGATGTGGAAAAAAGGTTCTGTGCTCTAATATACAGCACGTATAACAGTAGTGTGTGTATAGATATGTATATTTATTTACTTATAAATAAATATACATACATGGCCTGTTGGTACCTTGTAAATACTTTTATATTGTTACAAAACAAAATTCAGAATGTTCTATTAATCTTTAGAATCCTGGATATTTTTTTTAGCACATTACACACAAATATGAAGCAAAAATATTTAATTTAAATAATTGCTAATATTATAAATGATATTATCTGATGTTTGTATTTACAGTCTGTTATATGCAGTAGGATTAACTGCAGGGTTGCAGCTATGGACCTCAGAGGACATGGTAAGGGATTTTAAACTCTTATTTTAGAAAACATACTTGTTTTAGTTAATTAGCTGATAACAAACCATTGATTTTAAAATCACATAGGTCAATAACATACATACAATTAACTCAAAATATATGATTTAATCGACCTGTTTTCAAATGTCACATTTTTCTCATAAAATTAAGGTGATTCTAAAGTAAAGAACCCTGACGACCTCTCTGCTGAAACAATGGCCAAGTGAGTACGTGTTCATTTCTCTTCTTTCAATGTCTGTACAAAGGAAGTTTTTGTGACATTTAGGGGCCGCTTACATGGCCTTAAAACCGGAAAAAAATAGTATGTTTTTTGGCAGTTCATTTACACGACAACGGTGTTTTGGGGGCCTGAAAACGCAAACACAAAACAGGTTTCAAAGAAAAAGTTTTTGAAAATGATACCGCTATCGGATCTGTGTAAACTACAAAAATGCGAATTTGTGAAAGTGGTGACATCATGCGCATGTGTATTGCATGTTCAGTCTTTAGGCGCGTAGTGTTTCTTTACAAAGTGCCATCGCCAACTACTGGCCTGGTATGGCAAAGGAAAAACTTATCTGTTTTTAGTACATCGTTGTTGTGTAAACATACTCTTTAGAAATGTTTCTTCCAATTTAGAAATGTTAATTTCTCTCAGGGATATTGGAAAAGTGGTGGAGGCACTTTATGGTGAAAACCCACCTCCGATCATGATTATTGGTCACAGCATGGGTGGAGCAATAGCAGTTCACACGGCTGCATCCAATCATGTCCCATCACTGCTTGGCCTTTGTGTCATTGATGTAGTGGAAGGTAAGTTTTCACCCCTCATCCCTATTGTGCCTTTTTTCATAATCCACACAAGCAAAAACAGTTCAAGACAAGAGAAAAAGTCAAATATTTACAAGTGCAAACTCTTTTGACATATCAGAGTTGCACAGTTATTGATGTGTTCACAAAAATCATTATGAAACCGCTGTATGTTTTGTCATCGATTTCAATACAGTTTGATTGTTTGTGACTGTGTGTTATATTTATGTATGCGTTAATGCTAGTTTGTTCATTCTTCAGGTACAGCAATGGATGCCTTGAACAGCATGCAAAACTTTCTGAGAGGTCGACCAAAAACGTTTAAATCTGTGGAGAACGCAATCGAATGGAGGTACACAGTTTTGAGTATATTGTGGAAAATAATATCTAGTGCTGGAATGTATATGAAATCTAGGGCTGTCGATCGATTAATTGCACAGATTTCTGTAATTAATCGCACCAAACATAAAAATGTGTAATTTTCACAAGGAATCTCCAAATTAATTTGAAAACAACATAAAGACAGTGTTTTGAATTTTTTACATTTTAATTATTTGTTTAAAGGCATTTTTTTATAAGTACGATGATTGAAGGTCACTGATATTGATGCCTCTATTACATGGATTTTATTTTCATTTTCTGGGGATAAAATAAGTCATTAAGCCATTCAACATTACAGTATAATTGAAAGCCAGGCCTAAAGTGTAAATTATCTGATCTGCATTTCCCAAAAACATCATAAGCCTGAGTAGATCTTAGAACCATTGCCACCAATGGTCTCTACTACGATCTACTTGGCTCACAATGCTTTTGAGAAATGCAGCCCAGATTGTTTATCAAGTTTATTTAGAATACAGGTATTTTAGTTTGCTAAACATGGTAGAGGTCAGTGCCTCATGTATCCCAACTGGTAACTGTGTTTTTTTCTTTTTTTCTTACCAGTGTGAAAAGTGGTCAGATCAGAAATATTGAGTCTGCACGAGTGTCCATGGTTGGACAGGTGAAAAAGTAAGTTTTCCCTAGTATGGGCTCCCTTAAAAATGAAAATTCTGTCATCATTTTCTATCTCTCAAGTTACCAACATTCTTCAAAATATCTTATTTTGTGTTCAGCAGAAGAAAGAAACTCATACAGGTTTGGAAAAACTTGAGTGTGAGTAAATGATGACAGAATTGACATTTTTGGGTGAATTATACCTTTAACTAGCTCCAGGAATTGTTGTAAATTTGTAGAAATATTTAGCTATTGAATATATTGTTGTGATCAGATGTGTTTGGATGTTTAGATGCGAGGAGCCCTTGAGTAGTCCAGGGGTTTCCAAGAGCATCAGTGAAGGTATTATTGAAGAAGAAGAGGAAGATGAAGAAGAAGGTGAATCCAACCATAAAAGGAAGAAGGAGGATGACCAAGAGGTAATACATGTTTCAATTCTGATCTTATCACCCTGTCAGGGCTTATTTTGCAACAATAACTGGCTGACTGTCAACTACAGTTCAAAAGTTAGGGGTCAGTAGATGTTTTTTTTAAAAGAAATTAATACTTTTATTCAGCAAGCATGCATTAAATAGATAAAAAATGACAATAAAGGCATTTATAATGTTGCAAAAGTTTTCCATTTCAAAATAGATGCTGTTCTTTTGAACTTGCTATTCATCAAATAATCCTGGAAATATCACGGTTTCCACAAACTGCACAACTGATTTTAATATTGATAATAACAATAGAAATGTAATCTGAGCACCAAAGTCAGCATATAAGGCTGATTTCTGAAGGATCATGTGATGCTAAAGACTGGAGTAATGATGCTGAAAATTCTGCTTTGCCTTCACAGGAATAAATTACAATTCAAAATCTATTAAAATAGAAAAAAGTTATTTTAAATTGTAATAATATTTCACAATATTACTGTTTTACTGTATTTATGATCAAATAAATGCAGTTTTGGTGTGCATAAGAGACTTCTTTCAAAAACTCTTACTGACCCAAAACTTTTGAACGGTAATGTACATTATCCCTTACTTTATTGTGCATTTAATCACTTGCATTAACATCAAATATCACATTATTTTATGTACAAATGATTGATTGATGATTTTTCCATTTGGCAGATAAAGAAAGAATGTCTGTACACATGGCGTATTGAACTCTCAAAGACAGAGAAGTACTGGGAAGGCTGGTTTAAAGGATTGTCTTCTCTCTTTCTCAGCTGCTCTGTGCCAAAACTCCTCCTGCTGGCTGGTGAGGCTTAGACATGAATTTTAGAACTCTTAAAGTCGGCATGAAAAAGAAGTAGTCTTTTCTTCTCTATTGTGACGTATATCCTAGTACAACGGCGTCTTGAACAAGAAAAAATGTATGGCGGGACTTGATTTTGTTAATTGGGAATTGATCGGATCGTTTGCTATTGCTGTGATGTCATGTAAGTGATAGGTTGCCCCAATGCCCTTATTCCAATAAACACGTCATCAGAGAAGGGAGGGGGAGTTATTTTGATTAAAGATTACGAGGGCACATGAAAAAAATAATAATAATAATGTACACGGATAAATCATTTTATTAAAAAATACTGCAATATTCTATACAAAATTAAGAATTGTCAATCTTGATTACATGGTGACTTTAATGTGTAATAATAATGTGTTTCCCACAGGTGTTGACAGGCTTGATAAAGATCTTACCATTGGGCAAATGCAAGGTAAGGCATTGATATTTCTGTTCTTCAGGCAAGTCACGTTGCTGTGGCCAGAAGGTCCTTCATCTCTTCTTTGATTATTATTACAGGAAAGTTTCAGATGCAGGTTCTGCCACAATGTGGCCATGCTGTTCATGAAGATGCCCCGGAAAAAGTATGTCTGTTTGTATCATAGGGTCACAGTCCTTGAAAACTTCTACTGTGGTCTTTTACTGATTTGGTTTCTTCTGAACTATAATATGCCGTTTTGCAGGTAGCTGATGCTCTAGCCACATTCATGGTCCGTAACAAGTTCACTGAATTCAAGGAGGATTTCCCCTGGTAAGAAGTCAAATGTTGAGTGAATCGTATCACAGACATATATTTGATTTGTTTTCTAATCTTGCCCTTTTTTGTCTTCTGTGTGGTGTTTGCTTCAACAGATGATGTGTAGCCTCCACTCGTAGTCTTCATCCAGCGCTGTCATCCCTCTCTGCTCTCACCGGGGATTAAAATACAACCAAAATCATGATGACTCATTTACTGCGAACTCATTCTTAAATTATATTCAGTTTTGTATGACTTTATGTATGTTTGCTGTAGTCATTAAAATTCTCATGGCTACGTTGGCAGGAAATAATAATACAATAAGACTTTAATTTAAAATCGCTATGTATATTTACATTTTTATTTCCCCCTTAACTGATTTCTTTTGCATTTCCTCTGATGCCTTGCTTGTTTATTGTTGTTATTAGGATGATTGCATCATATTGTGGTCAAAGTGTTGGTCGGTTGCTGATTTCAAGGGAAAAATAAAAAGAGAGATTTCCGCAGTCTGCTCATTCATTCTAGGGCTTGGTATAAATATATATTTTCACAGGGTGTAAAAATCTACCTTTTATTGCCTATTGTCACTGAATGTAATTCTTTGTAGTGAATCAAATCTGTTCCTGATTCCCAGAAAAAAAGGTATGGGACAATTCTTTTAATGAGTAGTTTAGCTTATTGAGTAGACGAGTTACCAATTCTGCCCTTTATAATTTACAGTATTAGCAGAGAGAACACCTCTTTCATATGTAAGCAAAATTAAATATACCTAAATCAGTCATAATCAAATTCATAAGTTTATTGATAGAATCAATATATAAACATAATAAAATACATCAAGAAGCACAATCATTTGTGAAATTATTGCATTTAGCTTATACTAAAGATAAACTCATATTGCAGTAAGACAAACTCTAAAGACAAATGTTAACCTTTTTATACTGTTAATAATTCAATACATTGCTTTATTTCACACACATTGAACAGTCCAAAGTGTATATGTGCATAATACAAGCTGTCTGCATAAATGATGAAAGATTCTTATAAGAGCTTGTTAACAACAGAGGAGGCATTGTTTAAGCAGTAAGACGTAAAATCCACTTAAAATCATCTTCTATATTAGAATAGAAAAAATATATATTTTTTAGATATTTTAAACAGAACAGTGTAATTTCATGTAAAAGTATATGGTTCCCTTGACCTTCTCAGACAAACTTTTTTAAATATGGCGTTCATCATAATTAAACATTTACTTGTACGCTGTAAACTAAAATTATTATTGCACGTTAACTTTTTTCCAATCATCTTTTGTAACATACAGTTAATGTACATTAACAGAGGGCCTTACTTTGCCTGAACGATAGCAGAAATAATATTTGAACAATGGCCACACGGCTTCATCTCTCATACCATAGATCAGAGGACTCAAGCAACGTGGCAGCATAAGAACAATAAGAAAATTTAGATATCTGAGATTTATGAAGAGAGAAGAGCTGTCAGTCACCATGTATAGTGCTTTGTTTATCGTGGCATAGAGGAAAGAGGTGAGACACAGTCCCAGCTGAATCAAGTGCAACAGCACCGTTCTGAGGGCTTTTTTAGCTGAATCTTTATCAGAGGAAACAGACCGAGCAGTGATCATAATGCTAATGTATGTGAAAATGATGATCACTGCAACCGACACAAAATAAAGAACATCAAACCCTTGAGTTTTATCCAGCTGCCATTTGAATAAAAACAATTTCTCTTGTGTGCAAAATAAAACATCTACAAACAAACTGGGGTTGACAATTAAAACAAAAATAATGTCTATTATAATATTTATAGAACTAAGGAACCAGATGATTCCTATGGCGATTCCAGTCCTTTTTGGTGTGGCGATGTTGCAGTGTCTCAGAGGGAAGCAGATTGCCACATACCGCTCCAGCGACATCAGTGCGAGAGTCAGAGGAGCGTTACGGAAAGAGCAGTAGGAGATAAAAACTAACAGAGTGCAGACGGTTCTGGTTACTTGAATGTAAAATGTTCCCATTGTGTACATGGTAGTTGTGAGCAGCAAAAGCACAGAGTCATTCACAAGCATGTGGCCAAAAAGAATGTAGCGCGGCGTCTCATGGAATACGCGCTTGCTTCCTAGAGCAAAGAGCATCACACAGTTTACCAAAAAGAAGAACAGGGATATTAACAGAATCACTGAAATTTTAGTCCTGGGCCCAGCATCCATGTCTACCTTGAAGATTTGCTGATAAATGAATGAAACATCCCCAGTTGTGCCATTGGACGCCGCCATAAGCTGAAAGACAACAAAAAAAAAAAAGAACAATTAGATTAATTAGAGCAACAGTGTAAATCATGCAATTGTACTGATAGCTATTTATTTTAAGTGGCATCTTTAAAAATGAAATTTTAACAAGTTTGCAATATAGGCTACCTTAGACACAGACGTGTTGCCTTTCAGTGAGGCATCATCCTTTCATCTGCTAAAGCTGCAGATTCCACAAACAATTCTGCTCCTCATTTTATAGATGTTGAAGTTTCGCAGATTGAACCACATGGGTATGCCGTCCATGCCACTGGGTGTTTGAGAGGGGAGGGAGGGAGAGCAAAAGAGAGATAGAAAGACATGCGGGTGTCATTTTAAGAATTAAAAGTGGGGCCCAAGAATCAGAGACCACTATTGAAAATTTTTCAAACTCTTTCTAATTTTATAATATCGAAAGAATATGAGTGAAAAGTATAGTTAACATTGGGGTTTTATATTTACCACACACACACAAAAATAAATAATATGATAGAACAATTCTTGATTCATGATTTTACAGTAGACACTTATTATTTATTTTATTTGTAGTATTTGAGCAGTAACTATGATTGGAATGTCTAGACGAAATGTATTATGTTGGCTTATTTTAGCCTACATAATTGATTGACTGTATAAAAGTCACATATTATTATGTTGTTAAAATCATGGCGAGGTTTTAACATACTAACTCAATGTATGTGGTTCACCGAGACCATAAACAGACAACTGAAAAGCACGTCATCGGCTTCTTTGTCTTCAGGAGCCGCATCTCTGTTGAGTGTATGTGGACACAATTATAAAGTGTGTGTTTGTGAATTTAGGAATAAGAGTTAGTCTGTAATGACAGGAACTCAACATAGGAGATGTGTGAACCAGGAACCAGGTCTCGTGGAGGGGTACACCACAACATTGTGTACCAGGCTTCCCGCGTTGCCCTCAGGGGGTGTTTCTGCTTGCCTCCCGTCCACCTCACTTCAATGGGGTGTTCACAAGCTGTCAATATTCGGGTTATGGTCGGGTTAAGGTCACTATTCGGGTTTCTGAAACATTCGGAATAACCCCTTTACATGCGTGAGCAGAGAGAGTTACTCCTGTATACATGGAATTTGTAATCAATTGGCAATATCCCGATGTAAACGGCGACGCACGGTTAGCGTCTGGACGTACGGACAACCTTAAGATGCAATATGCGTCATATTCGATTCTTCTTCCTGTATCCAAAGACAACAACAGCAGCAGCAGCAGCAACATTCATGGTTTTCACCACACTAATAAAGAAATTGGTTTCCTCCTCGCTCCAAAAGTATGGTGCTGTGCTGCGTCTCGCCATGTTTACCTCTACTTCTTGTTTACTTCCGGTATACTGCACGCAGGTTTTTACAAGAAGTAAACAAGAACTTCATACAAGAAGTTCCTCTACTCAAAAGACCAAGATTCCTTGGGAATAGAACATGCGCAGAATACAAATCAATGTTCCTTTTGATGGGCATATGCCGATACGCGTTTACATGACCAAATATTCGGGTTAGAAAAGGGATCATATTCGGGTTTTTAAAAACCGGAATATGAGCATATTCGGGGTTTTGCCGGTGTTTACATGGCCGTGCGCGACCGGGTTGTTGCTAAATTCCGGTTTTGAACGGGTTATTGGCTGCTTGTAAACGTAGTCAAGCTGTCAATATTGGGGTTATGGTCGGGTTAAGGTCACTATTCGGGTTTCTGAAACATTCGGAATAACCCGTTTACGGCGTCGCCATTTACATCAGGATATTGCCAATTGATTACAAATTCCATGTATACATGTATATTCCTCTGCTCACGCATGTAAACGGGTTATTCCGAATGTTTCAGAAACCCGAATAGTGACCTTAACCCGACCATAACCCGAATATTGACAGCTTGTAAACGTAGTCAACGATGAACCAAGAACAACGATATTTCTAAAAACAAGAACCCCAGTCTATCTTGGCAAAAGGCAGAGGTGTAAAGTCCAGAGGTCAAAAAGTAAAAGTCCTGCCATATGTTTATGCATGAACTCAGCCAGCTGATTTCACTAATTAGTTATATCTCATGGCTGAAAAATAATTAGCTAATTATCTGCTAATTAGCAAATCCAGGTGATTGGAACAAAATACTGTTATGATGCCAATTTGTGTAGCAATACTGCTGTGGTTAAAGGGACATGTCAAGCATTTATTTATTTATTATTTGTTTATTTTAATGTTGCTGAGGAATGAGTTAAAGCATAACGCATACAGTACACTCCATAAATGTTCATAAAGAGTGGTGAAAATTGATAAGCCATAGCTTATGGATCCGGTGATTTACCCACAGGATTTATATAGGGGAATGTTCACCAAACAAATTCATTAGCTAACAGGTATGAAAGTAACAATAACAAAAGAAGAAGAAAAATAGGCAAATGCGCATGCATGCAGGACAGCTGTATTTGCCAACTGTGAAGGTCTGACCACACAGTCCACATTCTGAACATTCAATCTAAGGAAGGAAGAACAAACTATAGAATAAGTTACATGCTAATGAAGAACAGTTACTTGTTTTGCTATGTATACATTTTTCTTATCTATTGTCCAGTCATGTTATAAAATAAAAATAAAAATAAATGTCACAGTTGTATTACCTTTTTATAGTAAGCCCAATTTAACACACAATTACCCTTCATTGTGAAATTTTCACATCTCCTCTTTATATAATAGTGTTACTTCCTTGAGCAGCTATCAGGATATTGGTTATCCTGCAAAGTTTTTGATTTGGCTAACTTTAATTGCATCAATTTGGTGTGGCAGTATGGCCTAACAACAATGACACGTTACAATAATGAAACTTAATTTATAGACCTTTTTTTAATCTGTTCCTAACGGATAGCAGATGACAACAATGAAAGCACATGATGTGATCAATAACAAGTAAAGAGAATATGTTAAAGGATTAGTTCACTTTCAAATTTTTTTTTGCTAATTATTTACTGACCCCCATGTCATCCAAGACATCCATGTCTTTTTTTCTTCGGTCAAAAAGAAATGAAGGTTTTTGAGGAAAACATTCCTGAGTGAGTAAATTATCAGCAAAAAATTGTTTGAAAGTGAACTAATCCTTTAATGAGTTTCATGGTACCAGTCAAATGAAGAGAACTGGCATAATTCAAATTTATATTACATTAAAAAAGGCACTAACACATTACATTTTATTTATAAAACTCATAGACCATTGTGTCATATTTCTTTTGATAAATAGGTCAGCAAAAAAGTAAACAATAAAGCACTTCCTATTGTTTTAGAGTGGGTTATGCTATTCATGTGAGGTGACAAATGTGAGGTGACAAATGATTAAGAGATTAGTGATGTAGGCCTCTATGTGAAAATTAGCCATAGAGAATATCAGTATATATTTGTAATAATTCATCATCACTATATCATATGTTCTGCTTATTTCAGTAATACAATTTGTGGTTGCACTTGCCACTCAGTGTTTTTCACAGGACTTTAATCACTAAAGACAAAGTGTAATTTTACCTGTAGGCTACTACTGCTTCAACTTTTAAAGTTAAACATGAAACAGTGAGGCAACATGAAAAAAGTTCATAAAAGGAGAGCTGCTGTCTGTCCACGCCATCCACTGTGATTTACAACACGAGGACAAATACATCAAAACGAACAACAAATGAACATTATACAAGTTGGTACAGTGTATATATTTTGAACATGTAGTAAGCTAAACCCAAAAATAAAATATTCAACCAATTAAAGTGTTAGTTCACCCAAAAATGAAAAAATATGTAAGTACATTCCAAACCCGCAAGACCTTCGTTCTTCTTCAGAACAGTCAGAAATTAATATATTTTTAATGAAATCCGAGTGGTTTCTGAACCAGACAGAGGCTGCAAAGTCATTGCTACTTTCAAGGTCCAGAAAGGTACTAAAGACATCGTTAAAATTGTCCATGTGACTACAGTGGTTCAACCTTAATGTCATGAAGCGACAAGAATACTTTTTTTGTGCACAAAAAACAAACAAAAATAACGACTTTATTCAACAATCTCTTCTCTTCCATGTCATTCTCCTAGGCATGTTTTGTAAATAGCCTCTACGTCAGAACGCCGGCTGGCTCAGTATTTCCATCTTTGGCCTTAAATTGATGCTTACGGCCGTCTGCTGGAAGCTAGTTATTTTAGTCGATAAAGTTTTAAATATGGATATATTTTTTTACACTAACTCATCTCTTCGCTTCAGAAGGCCTTTATTAACCTCTTCAAAATATAAAATGGCCATTCACTGCCATTATAAAGCTATGAAGAGCCAGGACATGTTTTAATATTACTCCAATTGTATTCGTCTGAAAGAAGAATGTCATACACATAGGATGGCTTGAGGGTGAGTAAATCATGGGGTAATTTTTATTTTTGGGTGAACAATCCCTTTAAGTAGGGCTAAATGCTTCCCTCTAGACAGGTACTTCCTTAAGGTTGATGGAGGGTAAACAAAATTATGGTAAGCACTAAACAGTCCGCAAGCATCCCTCTACTCAAGCATTCTATGTTGTGTATCCCCCTCTGCTCTTAGCGCTCTAGGCTGAGGCCTGTCCCGCAGAGACGGAGTAAGGTTTTGTACACTTGTGTGTTTACACATGCTCCAGACACCAGTCACGCTGGCGTCTCCCATAGCAACAACATCAAGAAGCAGAACTTCGTTCCCCGTTTAAAAATAGAAATAAAGCTCACTGAAGCCTTTCACTTTAATTTTGAGGCCATGATTGCACAAAATGTTGTACTAAAAAGTTATTTATCTATAAGTATCTTTAAAAATTGTACTTACTATGTAGGCTATTATACCATTATAAAATGTTTTTATTTATTTAAACACCCAATTATGCCAGAATTACATGAAAATCTCAGCTGCATTCAGATTTAAAATGAGTGAGGCTACATTGAAGGATGCAGGGTCCATCACTGTACAAGGTTGACAGTCCCT